TTTAGCTTCATGTTCCAACTGCATTCACCTGCAACTGACTTTTAAAAAACGTATGGCCGGGTGGTGGTGGCGCACGCCTTTAATCCCAGCACGTGGGAGGCAGAGGCAGGCGGATTTCTGAGTTCCAGAGTTCGAGGCTAGCCTGGTCTACAGAGTGAGTTCCAGGACAGCCAGGGCTACACAGAGAAACCCTGTCTCGAAAAACCAAACCAAAAAAAAAAAAAAAAAAAAGTATGGATAAGGCTGGAGAGATGGCCCAGTGGCCAAATGCATGTACTGCTCTTACAGAAGATGGCAAGTTTGGACAGGCACCAACACTAGGCAGCTCACAACTGCCTATAACTGCAACCCACGAGGTTTGCCGCTCTCTTCTGCCTCTGTGGGTCCATGGGCAGCTACACTCACATGCACATACTCTCACACAGGTATACACATATGTGGAATTTAAAATGATAATAAATCTGAAGAAAACAGAGGTGGAAGAGGCAGCGGCTGGTGCCCTAACACAAGCAGCAGCCGGTAGTCACAGCCTTTGCCCCCTCTTGCCCACCCACCTGCCCTATGCCACCACCCTGCCCTGGCAGTCTCTTTTCTCCTTCCTCCTCCTCCACCCCTCACCTTCCCGCCTACCCCTATTGTTCTGCCTTCGGCCTTCTCCTTCCTACCAGCTCCCTTTCTCCCTTCTGTGAACTCACACCTCCAGTGACCAAAGGCGTGACCACTGAAGTCCAATGCTCCGTAACTGCTAGACATGGACACTGGTGTGACTGAAGGTAGATTAAATCCACCATCAGGCCACTTCTGCATAGAAAGGAAGTTGGTAGTATCCTAGAAATAAAAGGAAAAGCTGCTGCTAAGAAGATACATAAGGAGAGTGGTGCTCATATCAACTTCCCAGAAGGGAGTTGTCCCGGGAGAATTATCGCTTTGGCTGGACAGACTAATGCCATCCTCAAAGCCTTTGCTGCCATCATTGACAACTGGGAGAGGACATAAGCAGAACTGTCAGTAGACCCCCAGTTACCTTACGGCTGGCGGTCCTTCCTAGTCAGTGTGGCTCTCTTATTGGAAAAGTTGGTTGGAGGATCAAGGAAATGACAGTGCAGGGGTTCAGGTGGCAGGGGATATGCTCCCCAACTCAACTGAGCAGGCAATCATTATTGGTGGCATTCTGCAATCCATCAGTATGTCAAACAGATCTGCATGGTCATATTGGAGACTCTCTCCCTGTACTCCTCCCCCCGCCAGGGAGTGACCATTCCCATATGGGCCCAAGCCCTCCCTCAAGTTCTCCATTCATCTTTGCCTATGGTCAGGACAGGCAGTGTCAGTTTGAGCTTTCCCATACCACCCTGTCCATGTGCCTCAACCCTGACCTGGAGGAACCCATCTCTAGAGGCCTATACCATTCAAGGACAGCATGCCATTCCACACCCAGATTTGACCAAGCTGCTTCACTAGACAATGCTATACTCTCATTTTCCCATGACCCATGGCAACACCAGATTCAGTGGCATTGAATCCTGCCCTCCAGAGGTGAAAGGCTATTGGACAGGTTTGGATGTCTATGCGCAAACTACTTCTCGTGAATTCACCATTCCAAATGATTTGATTGGTTACATAATTGGCTGCCAGGCTACCAAAATCAATGAGATCCATCAGATGTCTAGGTCAAAGATCAAAACTGCAGACCCAATGGAAGGGCAGGAAGTTTTCCATCGTTGGATCTGCTGCCAGCATGAGCCTGGCTCAGTGTCTCATCTGTGTCAGGCTTTCCTCAGAGACAGGTGGCATGCGGAACAGCTAGAACAGTGCAGATTCATCCATGGACCCTTTCTGGTGTTTACCACCACCCATGATCCATCTGTATAGTTTCTGAACACTCAGCAATTCCAGAGTTTAAGTCGTTTGTAAATTTTGAGTTTCCATACACTTTATCATCTACCCTTGGTATTTTAATTAAAGTGTTTAAATTCCCTCCTAAAAAGAAAAGAAAGAAAAAAGGTAACACAGCTTACCAAGAGTAAGACATTTTGAGGGGAAGCGAAGGGGCTAACAGGACAGTAGATAGAGTCCCCTAAGGTGAAAACTCAAAGGGAGGAGGAGTGACTCCAGTCTGAGGGGGAGGGTCTGAGGCTCATGGCAGGAGCTGAGAGTTGAAATAGGAAGGCCACTAGTAGGGCAACCCTGACCAGGAGCTGTGGATAGAAACTAGTGTTCTGGCCTCTTCTCTTTCCTGCCATTATGGGCCAAACCCAGGCAGAACAAGGGTACTAACGAGAACTGATATACTCAGTGGTTTCAGCCTCTAGGGAACAGGACACGAGACATCACTGTCTTCAAGACAGACAAGGGTAGCTTCAGGTAAGAATCAAACCTTCCCAACTCATGTGACTTTATTCTACTGTCTTCGTGAAACCAACCCTGTGATTCCAGAAGATGCTCGCTCTGGAAGAACTAGTTCATCCCAGGAAGCTGACATGCCATTTCTTCAATTGGAAGCATCCAAAAGCAGTTCACACCAGAATTCTTTGAAGCCCCCAGCTGGAAATCCTCACTCAGCTGCCTTGCCAGTCCTGATCCTCCCAGCCACTTACAGCTGCAGTCCATCTTTTCTCTCCTGCACCGGGAAGCAGCCGAGGCTCCGAGGACCCAGGGACTCTCCTCATTGCAGCCAAAGAAAGCCCAGCCTGGGTTTCCCAACAGTCTTCTCTGGCAACTGAGGCAGCTTCTGACAGAAAGGAGCACATTGGGATGCAGTGGTGTGCAGAGCCTGAACCACCCTGGGGACTTCCTCCCCGCTGGAGTTCAGTGAAGGAATGAGGCATTATTAGTCTTTCTATTTTCCCCATGCAGATGCAAAATCCAGAGTGCCAGGGCTGGAAGGGGTCCCAGAAGTGATCTCATCTGTCCTTCCTTAAGGGATTAGGTCATTGGAGGGAGGTCAGCCAGTGGCTGGGATTGGAGCTCGTCTGAGCCAGGGGTCCTGCTTTCCTCATTCTCCTGCCCACTCGTTTATTCTCCAACAGTCCTTTGCAGAACACCAGGCACGGTGCCACGTGACAAGTGCTGGGAGTGAGGTCACTTCTTTGTATTAAATTCCCTGTTTTTGCTTTCTGTACCTTTTAAGCAGATGTTGGGCTCTGTCTTCTGTCCTCTAGCCTGCAAGAGTTCCTAGCTTCCAAGCCTTGAGGTCCACACACATGTGAAGAGTGGAGAGGGAGACCAAATCATCTAGGAAAGGTTAATAATCTAGTTCAAGAAATCCTAGATTGGAATTGGAAAAGAGAGGGTGGGAACAAAAAAAGAAGGGAGGGAGGGAGGGAGGGAGGGAGGGAGGGAGGGAGGGAGGGAGGAAGGAAAGAAGGAAAGAAAGAAAGAAAGAAAGAAAGAAAGAAAGAAAGAAAGAAAGAGAAGGAAGGAAGGAAGAAGAGAGGGAGGGAGGGAGGGAGGAGGGAGGAGGAAAAGAGCGGTACCAAAATGGACTGTATCCTGCTCTGGGGCAAAGTTCCAGGATGCCCACAGCAGACCTCTGGATGCCTGTGTATCTGAGACCCTCCTGGGCTCAGAGGACAGAGTGGCCTCCATAACTGCATAGGGCTATAGGGAAAAAGACCAAAGGACACCTAAGGAGTGACCAACACTCTGAATAATCAACACTCTGATGCTGTGAGGGTCTTGGTACCATTCAGACAATGAAACTAATGCACTGGTACTGCAGACACCCGAGCTGAGGAGACAGCCCCTCAAAATTGGATAAAGAGGTTATAGCAGCTGTTCTCAACCTGTGGGTCACAACCCCTCTGAGGGGAGAATGACCTTTTACAGGGACCGCATGTCAGACATCCTGCATAGCAGATATTTATATTGTGATCCATTACAGTTATGAAGTAGCAACAAAAGTAGTTTCATGGACAGGGTCACGGCAACATGAGGAACTGTATTGAAGGGTCACACACAGCATTAGGAAGGTTTAGAAGCACTAGGTGAAGATCCTCCTCTCCTCCACTGATCTGCTCTAGAAAAAAGAGGACGCCCAGCCTTGCAAAGCATTCCAGTCTGAACAAAAAGAAAGAACAAGTTTGGTCCTTAACAAAAGGTGATCGGAGCTGCGGGTGAAAGAGTGAGAGATACTTTTGAAAAGAGCTGCCACCTTCTCTGTGACCGTGCAGTTTTCTGAGTGATTTACAAACTGCTTCTTTTCTGCCCCTGAGGGGGGACTCTCAAACGTGAGAGATTTTAATCTCCGTTTACAGAAAGACAGAGACCTGAGATGCCCTGCTTGCATCTGTTGGTTTTAGTTCAAAATGATCCTGATCCCAAAGTGACAGATTGGAAGAGAGCATACTCTGACACCCTTGCCCAGGAACAGGTTGATCCAAAGGGCAACATAGTAGGCTGAGTCTGCCCTGGGAATCAGGGAGGGGACCAAGGGAGGGAGGGTAGCGTGTGCATCCTCACTCTCCTCTCCCCCAGACTGTTGACAGGACTGAGTGTGACCTTGTGTGACCTTGTAGCTGTTTCCTGCCTCCCTATTTGCTGCCAGCCAGGTGGCAGGTCACAGTTTTCCCTGTAGCTAATCAAGTGGACCAGGGCTTTAAAGTAAGGGAAGAAGGCCTAGAAGAGAGGAAAACAAAAGTCGAGCAAGCCCACAGACTGGCAGACAGTGCAGACAGGAGGAGACAGAGGAAGTGAGTCACTAGTTGAGACTTTGTGGCCTCTGGGGCCTCACATCCTTTAAGTCGTGAACTCTCACCTGGGGCCTGCCATCGGGGGCTTGGGAGGCCATTTGCTGTCTCTCTTCCTTGCAGCTCTGGAAATTTAGACTAGCAGAAACCTCTAAGTGAATACCGTGAGACACCAGTATGCATTTGCAGAAGACAAGGCTCAGCCTTTAGCTTTAAGGGGCCCCAACCCAGTCCTGGCGTACCAGCTGAGGGACACCAGAGTCAGCTCTTTCCTTCAGTCTGCTGAAGATAAACCTTAAAACCAACCGCAGAGTGCTCTCTTCAGCAGCGCATATACTAAAATTGGAACGATACAGAGAAGATTAGATTAGCATGGCCCCTGCGCAAGGATGACATGCGAATTCATGAAGCATTCCATATTTAAACAACAGCAACAAAACCCCACATAGTCAGGGACGATAGTACATGCCTTTAGTTCCAACACTAGGGAGGCAGAGGCAAGTGGATCTCTTCAAGTTTGAGGCCAGCCTGGCTTACATGAGTTCAAGACAACCAGAGATGGCAAGACCTCACCTCAAAAAAACAAGTGTGTGTGTGTGTGTGTGTGTGTGTGTAGTGTGTGTGTGTTTATGCATGTATATATTCACAAATCACAGAGCTGGGGATATGGCTCAGTGGGTAAAGGATATGCAATATGACCATGAGAATATGAATTTGGATTTCTAGAACCCACGTTACAGCTGGATTTGGTAACATGTATCTGGAACCTCACCACAACCACAGTGAGATGGAAGGTGGAGGCAGGAGAATTCCCGGCATATAAGGTGATGAGCAAGAGACCCTGTTTTGAGCAAGATGGAAGGTGAGAACTAACACAAGGTTATCCTCTTACCTCGATGCATGCCATTGTTTTTACACACACACACACACACACACACACACACACACACACACACACTGTACATCTTAGGTCCTTTTCTATTGCTGTGCTAAAACATCATGACTGACCAAGGGCATTTACAGAAGGAAAGGTTTATTTGGAGCTTACAGTTCCAAAGGCATAGAGGTTCCGTTGTCATCACTGCAGGGAGCATGAAAGCTGGCAGGCAGGAATGGCAGCCACTGAGAGTTGATCTCTTCATCCTCAAACAGGAAGCAGAGAAGCCAATTCAAAATGGCACTAGTCTTAAACCTCAAAGCCAGCTCCAGTGACATACTTCCACCAGCATGGCCACACCCCCTAGACCTCCCCAAACAGCCACCAACTGAGGACAAAACATTCAGATGCCGGATACTTTGCGGAACATCTCATTTAAGCCATCAGACATTGCTAGGGTACCTTTCTTTTACTTTTAATTTATAAATTAGGGAATCTTTAACATGGCGTTTAGGGGCTGGAGAGGTGGGTCAGTGGTTAAAAGCACTTGCTGCTCTTCTAGAGGACTAGAGTTAGGTTCCTAGTACCCAAGCTGGATGGCTCACAATCAGCTATCATGCCAGTTCTAGGGTGACACAGCACCCTCTTCTGGTACTCTGTGGGCACTGCATTAATGTGCACGTATCCCACCCACTCCCGCAGAGTAAAATAAATATTTTGAAAAGTGGAGTGTGGGGATGAAAATTCCAAAGACACACCTTTCCAGACTTCTTTGCAAAAAGAAGTAGCTTGGTGCACAACTCTCTCAACTAGTTAATGAAATTGGAGATGTGACCTGATCTTCCCAGAAAAAGCAGAAGAAGAAAAAGAAGAAGAAGAAGAAGAGGAAGAGGAGGAGGAGGAAGAGGAGGAAGAGGAAGAGGAGGAGGAGGAGGAGGAGGAGGAGGAGGAGGAGGAGGAGGAGGAGAGAAAAGCCATAGCTGTATTAAACAATCCCAAGCCTGATTAGAACCTCCTGACTGAGAAGAATGGGGATATTGCAAATATGGAAACAAACTTGTAGCGTTATCTTTAGCCCTAAAAGCCATTCTCTATCACCTCTGTGTCTGACTTAACATGTTTGTGACTAAAGGATAAAGCCTTCTGGGATGTCCTGGAATTCACCTATAGATCAGGCTGACCTCGAACTCAGAGATCTGCCTGCCTCTGACTCCTCAATGCTGGGTTAAAAGGGGGTACCACCAAGGTCGCGCTCTTGGGAATGTACTAACAGTCCACTAGCTTTCACCAGCCTCAAAACAAAGAATGTCATCAGACAGCACCTAAGACCTATCACAGAGATTTCCCTGGCTACAACCCGTCTACCTGATATTCGCACCAATGTATTTGAAAAAAAGTCTTTTTTCATGATCTTCTCTTGTCCCATGACTACAAAAACTTCCTGAAAACAATTCCATGTTGGAAGATGTTAGTGGGGAGAAACTGAATCTGTGTTCTGGGATACTGTCAGTCATAGTTGGTTCAAGAATAACCTGTCATTCCCCTTGCAGTGAAGGCTGTGTTTTAAACACTCTTGGGTGGCTTTTGGGAAAGTATCTTCCTCTTTGGTAGCAACAGGGGCAAGAGAAGACTGTCATTACCATGCTTGTCGGGAATGACAGTGGAAAGACAACATGCCTGGTGATTCCACCACAGAGAGCTGGCCAGCCAGGAGACAGGCTGAGTGCTGAAGGGGGGCTGACAGAAGCTGTATCCCCACCCAGCCCTCCTACTGTTCAGGATAAGTGAGTGGCTTTCTGACTGAAGCTACTCTTAGGTTCTACTTGTAGAACAGCGTTTGTAATGTCCAGCGCCGTGCTGGGATTGGCAGTAGGTACAAGACACGGGGAACCTGGGCTCTACCTTTTATATAACACAAGTTTACCACCAAAGCAGAGAAACTAGACCCTGTGCTCAGCATCCTTTCAGTTGAAACTTAAACCCAAGGCAACGGGAATTCTGCTGCTGAACTGCAAGGCGATTTGAGATGAGGATGCCTCCCTTAGGGTTCTCTCTCTCTTAGGGTTCCTTCCCGGGCGAAGAACCAAACACTATAGGAGGGAAAAAGGTGGAGGGAGCTTTAAATGAAGCCAAGGATGGACACAGTCCTTTCCATTCTACTCCTGAGAGCTCCTGAAAGTGACAGCCTGTCTGCCCCAGGCATTTTCTTTTAAACTCTAATAAAATTGTCCTCTTTGAATAAACTTTGGTTTTGTTTGACTTTATATATATTAAATGTTTAATACCCAAATATATACATATTTATATATATGTGTGTGTGCATACATATTTATGTATATATACATATGTATATACATCTATATGTACATACTTGAATATGCACATATATATGCATATATTTGTGACTTCATATATTTATTTTATGTATTATAAATATATAAATGCATGTATATTATGCACAAACATAAATATAAGTGTTATATTTAAATATTTATATACTTTGTTTATATATTATATAATATATAAACATGTTATACATGTTTATAATAACATAAAATATAATATAAAAACAAGTGAAATAATAAAATATAATACGAAAACATATTAAAATATAAAATAAATAGAAATGCTTTACATATTTTTTATAAATATATATAATGCAATCAATTGGTAAGACCAGACATGTACTATGTACTATAGCTTATGATATCCAGCTTATTAAAATTTACCAGTATTTATTGGGCACCAATTATATGCAAAACAGTATGTTTTGCGAGAACAGTGATACACTTTCTGAGCTCTAGAACATTTGTTGTATGCCCACCCACCCTGAAAAGGTGCCATCTATATATGGAAGCAAAGCATTGGATTGTAAATATTTGACTCATCTTAAAATTCTAAAGAAAAGCATGTTGTATTGTGTATGTTATATACAGAGGATGTAAGCCAGGCCTGGTGAATAGCATGGAGGTCCTGCCTAGAAATTGTCTCCTGTCTGATGAATTGCTGTCGGTTTAACACAGAAACCCAGTGCAAACCAGAACCGTCTGTCATTCCCAAAGTCACAAACCTAGCAAATAATCTCTCGATGTCTAGCACATTTCACATCATAAGCAGAATTGTCCGCCTAAGTCCTGTGATGTACTGACGGGTCTGTCACTTCAGCTGGTCTGACTTAACTCTTCCGCTTGGCCACTGGGTGCCAGCAAAATAGGTAGGTGTGAAAAATGAATTCTATCAAAAATAGCCCATATTTTTCTAACCTCCTTCCCCTTTGTGCTCATTAGTCAATTGTATTGGATTGTGAAGTCAAACTTGAACCAATGAGCTGAAACATAGTCAACACCTACCTACATAAGGGATAAAAGATGGCAGCCATTTTGGCCAAGTGTGTTGCTTGATAGACCAGTTTGCATTCTGGCACACTCCTGTTTGCAAAAAGAAATCATCTGGCCAAATTACCTCACTTTGTTAGTGTGTTCTTTATGCATAAAATTTATGCAACGTACTTTTAATAAGGACTCAATCTCTCCTCTAGCCCATCACCCAGCAGAAGTGGTAGTGGAAGAGAAAAGTTATTAGGCTATGGGGCAAGTGGACCTGTTCAGCAATAGTTCTTTGGGGTTGAACTCGATCTTCTTTGGCAGAAGTTCAGTCCTATAGCAAACACCAAATATGACTCAGTAGCAGCAGACCAGTCCTCTAGGCAGGCAGACAGCACACACAAACTGGCAGCTAAAGATCTGTACTTTTGGCAGGCCGACACCAGGCACGAACCAGCAGCTGTAGTTCAATCCTGAAGAAATGGTTAGGCTTGTCAACCGGTATGAAATAAAGCTTCAGAATCAGCAAACTGTTGCAGAAACCTCATGGGCAGTTCTTGGGTGGGCTTCTCTCAGTGGCAGCATTACCACAAGTTGAGCTATGTAAGGCAAACCAATACACGTGTATAGTTAGAAGAATAGTGAGGCAGAGCAAGCCAATGCTTAGTGCTCGTCTCCCACTGTCTGTGGGGTCATTTGTGTACCCCTTCATCAAGCGTCATTTTACATGTTTGCTATATCAAAACATCCTTTCACCTGTGTGCCCCAGGAAAACATCATTTGACATAACTAACTTTCCGAAGAAACGAGACATTTCTACTTCGGTGTTCCCTTGCAGGACACCAAAATTATTCATTTCCAGCAGTAACATTCCTTGGACTACAGCCTACATTAATGCAACTTTTGTCACATTTAGCACTGGAGAATGGGGCAAGATGGCTGATATTTATTTCAACAGTCGGCTGGATCTGAGATCCACATGACAGGGACCAGCCCATGGTTGTGTGGTCTTTCTGGTTCTGTGCCGCTGAGTCGCATCTGCTGAGTTCTGTACTTTAGGGATCACCTCTCCTTCCTGCTTCCATGACCAGTGCTCCTTAGGCAACACCCCAGGTCTCAGCCTCCTCCATAATTTACACAAGCATAGTGCATATGTGTGTGTGCATTGAGTGTTCTACCAAAAGTTGGCGCATCGCCCCCTTGCCGTTTTCTTCTCATTCCCAA